TCATATTCAGCTTGCCATCAACCAGGACCCCCAGGTCCCTTTCCACAGCACTACTTTCCAGCATCTCATTCCCAGTCTATGCGTACATCCAAGATTTCCCCAGCCCAGGTGCAGAATCCTGCACTTCCCCTTGTTGAACTTCATATGGCTGGTGATTGCCTAGTCCTGTAATTTGTCAAGGTCTCTCTGCAGGGCCTCCGTGTCTCTGAGGGAGTCAACAGCTCCTCCCACTTTTGTATTGTCTGTAAACTTGCTCAGTATCCCTTCCAGTCCTGTATCCAAGTAATTTATGAAGCTGTTGAAGAGCACAGGGCCTAAGATGGAGCCCTCTAGAATCCCACTAGTGACAGGGCACCAGTCTGATGTCACCCCCATTCACTGTTACCCTCTGTGCTCGACCCCTGAGCCAATTGCTCACCCACCACAAGATGTGTTTATCCAGCTGTGTGCTGGACAGTTTGTCCAGAAGGATCCTGTGAGAGACAGTATCAAAACCTTTACTGAAATTCAAGAAGATCACATCAACTGGCTTCCCTTGATCAGCTATGTGGGTTACCTTGTCACAGAAAGAAATGAGGTTTGATGAGCAGGACTTTCCTCTCACGAAGCCATGCTGGCTGTGACCAATGACTGCGTTGTCTTTCAGGTGTTTATCAGTATATCCCAGAATAATTTTCTCCATAACTTTACCAGGCACTGACTGACAGGTCTGTAGTTTCCAGGGTCCTTCTTCTTGCCCTCTTTGAAAATCGATACATTTGCCAGTTTCCAGTCAACTGGGACATCTCTGGATTCCCAAGACCACCCAAAAATCATCAAGAGAGGCTTTGTGATGACATCAGCCAGCTCTTTGAGGATTCTTGGGTGGATTCTGTCAGGCCCCATAGATTTGCAGGGATCCAGCTGGAACAGCAGTTCCAACAGAATTTCAGGGTTGACTGAGAGTTGATCGTTCTCACAGTCATGGTCCTCCAGCTCAGGGCACTGAGACCCCCTTGATCCATCATCTGTGTTGAAGATAGAGGCAAAGAAACTGTTAAACATCTTGATTTAGTCTCTGTCCCTGTTTGTGAGGTGACCATCCTCATCCTGTAAATGGGCCAATGATAGTTCTGTACTGCCTATTGCCATTAATATATTTGAAAAAAACTCTTTTTATTCTGCCCCTCCTTCCTTCTGGCAGCTTCAACTGCAGCTGAGCTTTGGTTGCACAATTTTTTTTCCCTACAGTGGTAAGTAGCATCTCTGTATTCTTCCCATGTCACTTGACCTTGCTTCCACTGGGCATACACCTTCCTTTTTTGTCTTACTCTAAGAAAAGATTCCTGTTCAGTGCATTTTGTGCATATGTGTGCCTAGATTTTCATGGTTAACAGACAAACTTCAGAGAGACATTAACATTCTTCAAGGTTACATTCATAAGACAAATTTTAAAACTATATTCTATAGTGATCTCCACACAGTACAGCAAATTCTGTATAAGGATGGTAGAAATGGTGCTGTGTTATCCTCAGAATTTGAATGCTCCCACTTCTTTTAGGCAAGGTAAGTGCTAACATCATATTAATTAGATTATTTATGTCTGTCAGGTAGGCAGTGCAAATGTCAATGGCATTTATTCTTGTAACAGTAGCTTTGGTGTATACCAATAGTACACAGATACTCTGCAAATGCAAACTTACCAAGAATTAAAACCAACTGCAGTTACAAATTCCCTCAGTAAGGATTTTTCAGCTGGAACATGTTTCACTTCAGAGGGCTATTTGGTATTTACTACAGAGCACATAAAAGCGATCCAGTTGTAGTAAAGATTCATAAACCAAGCAAAGGTTTCAACTTGCATAATTGCTTAAAATCCCTTTAAAAAGGATTTTATTTTCCAGAATCCTACTTTGAACGTGAAATGTTATTCCAACAGGGATGAGGTATCTATTTATAACCAAATGTTTCTGTGTAGTGGTCAAATGCAAAAAAAGAGGAATTGAATGTTTATTTTAGTCTTGATTTTCTTCCAATACCTTGTGTAATTTGTCCTGAAATTCTAATTATATCCCCCTATATAAACACTGCAAATATGAAAACCGAAAGACTATTTGCTACAGCTTTTTTCCTCCTTTTTTCCAAAGTAAAGAGATGCCTGTGGTCAAATTACTTAATGAAAAGAATTCAGTGTGTCAGTGATCATTCCAACAAAGAAAACATGTCCATTTACAGTATTGTTTAACTATTTCTATGTTGGTGACCACATTAAATGGGTATTTGAATGGAAATATGCCAGATGAATAAAAACAGCCTTCATGGGTGCCAAACATTAGCTATTTCTACAAAATTAGCTAAAAGTTTGCAAAATTACACACACCTATTATAAGTGCTGGCCTCTTAGGCAACTCAGAAGTCTATTGCTGATGTGATTTTAAGAAAGCAATGCCAATAAAATACACCAGGAGTTATTACCAGCCCATTATTTCATCATCAAAGCTTATGTTGAACCACAGCAATATATATGCATTATAGCTCAGGAACTGTGGCACAGCAGGAGTATAAAAATGGGTATCTATTTATGAAAGAAATCTACACTTTATGCTGAAAAGTAATGTTAACTGGACAAAACCCATAATAACCAGAAGCTGTGCAATTCAACAGCCTTTTCGTAGTTGCAGAATAAAATTGAATAAAAGTTAATTTTAAGAAGTCAGCCACTGCAGACCTCAATTAAAGGAAGGTGCCTGGGATTTGCAGTAGTGAATCGGAACTCTGATTCTTCTGGTTGCCAACAGTGGGCTGAACTGAAGGCCTCTGAGAAAGGAGCAACAAAGTTTTTAATGAATAGCAGTTGGCCGAAAAATCTTGGCCTAAGTTCTAAACCATGAGGCTTCTATCCCTCATGATCCTTCCCTATCATCCATTAAAACTATGTGTAACTTCGTTATCCTTATTTAAAAACCCCTCTATTTAAATTCTTGATTTAAAACCTAGCACAATGGTAGTTTGTCATAGGAAATTCCACTGGCTAAATACAGATGCCACAAAGAAACATGCACATTATAAATACAATCACTTGGCTTTGAGTTTGCAAACTTACTGGCACCCCTAGAGTGCTACACAAAGATGGTTATGTTATCCCAGACCACCATTTTTGTATTTTCTTTGCAAAATAATAGTATTCTTTTTAAAAAATCACCTACATGATTTTCTTCAGCTGATGCCTGTGTTTTAATATGTATTTTTATATATACTGAATGCAACCAAATTGTAGATCAGCTTGTCACAAAAAAAAAAAAACCACAAAAAAACCCCATAAGCAGCTCTTACCTCTATCAATTCAAACAGCCACTGATAAGCCAGAAATGGTCCACAGTCCAGGAAATACCAGATTAAAAACCTTTCTACAAACATATGTCAAGGTAGGGAAACAAAATTGCTAGAGGGAGAGAGTTCCACAGCTAGGGTATGTCAAATACCCATCCTCCATTCGACTCACGCTTCTCTCTCCACAATTATACCTCACTGCTCCTCTCCATATGCCTACACCAGAAGTACCCCAGCTCTCTTGAAAATATTAGATTAAAACATCTGATCAGTGGAGTAGCTACTGTGTGAGGTTTTCCTCCTTTTTTTTTTTTTTTTACTCAAGTAAGTTAACAGTTGCATTTTAGACTTGTTCATGTTTATTTCAGAGGTCAGAAAACTTACCTGTTTCCTCCATGTTTAAGATTTCCCATCTTACCACAGCTACAACCTGTTTCCCCGACTTGGATACAGTTCTCTAACTCATACAAATCCATAGGAGTAGAAAGGACCCATCTGAGAGTATTTGGAGAGCTGGCTGGCATCATCATGAGGCTGCTGTTTACTGTCTTTGAAAGGTTGTGAAGCCTGGAGAGGTTCCCCAATCATTTCAGCAAGAAGGACAACACAGGTAACTACATGGAGGTCACTCTTTCTAGGTCTCCTGGAAACCCTCTAGCCCAATACATTTACGATTTCCATCTAACTCTGCAGCCTCCTTAAGAAATGAGTATCACCTCCCCACACAAGCTCCTAAAACTACAAAACTTTATCCTGCTTCTTACCTGTAACACCATTTTGAGAATGTTTGGCCTATTCACCCCTAATAATTCCAAAATGTTACATTTCTAACTGGAGTCAAGGCCTTTGAGATGCTACTGTTTGTGAGTGACCAAAATTACAGGAATTCAAAGAAAAAAACACTAAAATTGAGAAAGGCATAAAAATTTGATGTCAAGACAATGCTGGAGATAAGGAAAGCCAAGTTTTGAGTTTTCTGTTTCATGGCACAGATGAATCTACTGTTGTATTGTTTACCTTGGATGTGCCTTTTCCTCTTTATTACTTTCATATAACAAAAGTTATTTTCTTTTCTCTGGACAATTAATTTCACTTTACCGTAACTGAGAATTATATTGGTATAATTGAAGGAGCTGGAGGTACAATACAGTCGTAGTGCTAACAGCTCCAACTAACTTCATACATTCAAAAATACATTCCTTCAAAACCCTCCAAATTCTAATTATAATGGTAAACAAAATGTTACAACACTAACTGCAGCAGCTTGTTTATATATCAGTTATTCTCAAAGAAAATATTTTTCTTTGGATGTGTGCACAACCTGTTGCTCTTTCAATCTTCTGGGCACTGAAAACACAACATTTCCACCAAAATATCTACCTGAGTGCATCCTGAGAAATAGAAGGCCTCTCACCCCAAGCAGTGCCTGTTTCTTTTCTCCCATACAACACCCACTGGCCACAAGAACTACAAAGCTTTAGCACCTTTCCCCCAGAATCAATGACTACACTGTGGTGAAGAGAACGAGTGCTTTTGATTGGTCAAACCAGGAGTGTTATTTCCACCTGTGAAAAGACATCTCTGTCTACCAGCAGAGTCTAACATAGACTTGACTATACTTAAATTAATCAATGCTTTATTTATAATTAAATTCAAGAAAAATAGAACTATATACAGGAAGAACTATGTATACAAAGAAACAAGTCTTTACACAGCCTATCCCCCAAGATCCATCTGAGTCTGTCTGGAGAAATAGTTCTCATATATAAATGGGATGATATTTTTCATGACTGAGTTCTGTCCTGCAGGCTGGGCAAGTGCTGGCAGTCTGAAGAGCAACAGGGAGGCATCAACTGCAGTAGACACGACCACAGGGGGTCGATGCAATCAGTTGTTCACTTTGCGCAGTCTGAAAGAAAGAAAACCACAATATGTATTGGGAGGAAAGAATATAAGTTTGCTGCTCTATTGGCACCAGACAAACAGGACTTGTAGTATTTGGAATCAGTAGATTACTACTGCTAGAATAATGAGGGACCCACAGATCTTCCAGAGCCATCTTGGCAGGGGTTTCTCTCTCTATGCACAGCACCAAAAAGTGACTTGTGGAGCTTCACAGCAAGGTCTGTGCTTCAAGCTGCCCGTAGCATCCCACATAAGACAACCGAGTTGAGCAACTCCCCCTCTGCCCCAATCCCCTCCCACAAAACAGAAAGGATGACAACATATGGATCCTTACCCATGAGTAGCAATCCATGCAAATCCCATGGAAGACAGTACCAGAGAGCCTTGTATTACAGAGAACAGAACTAGAAGGAACATTCAGCCATTAATTTCACCATGCATCAAGGGTTATGGAAACATAAAAGGTCAGAAATTAAAGCATCCCCTATTCTCATTTAGCAACATCCCAGCCCAGCAACACACTCATTGCAAGAACTTTTATGTACTGCAAGCACTTCAGCATATCTCAAGCCATATAGCAAAAAACATTCAATAATGATTTCATGAACAGAAGGGAAAAGCCCAAAAACTTGGCAAAAACCTGTTTCTACAGTATATCAGAAATCAGACCTTAGAGAGACAATTTATATCTCACATACCCATCAATATCTCCTTGTTCGTCTTCATCATCACTAATCAGTAGCACTACTGGATTATCTGCTGCTCTGGAGACAAGTGGGTGCTGGTGGCCCTGCTCTGACTGTGGCAATAAGGTAGAAATGGAATCAGCTTAGGAACCACCTGAACACCCCCTTCCCTGCTCCTCCATTTCTGTTCCCTAATTGGATTTCAGCTGGAGGTGTTTGTTTCCCTCTTTCTCCTCCAAACAGGCAAATTCAGCTGTGATAGCCACAAACTTTTGTGTAAGATCAACAGCTGCTGCAGAAAGGAAACCACAGGAACTGAGAATAAAGAATTACAGTTTGTTGCTCTGTTGGCACCAGGCAAACAGGACTTGAAGTATTTGCAAATTGTCAGTCACTTCTAGAACTATAAGGAACTATAAGATCTGCCAGTGTCATCTTGGCAAGGATTTCCCCCTGAATGTACACCATCAAGAAGTGACATGGAGGGTCATGCTAATTGGAGCATCAAAGCAAGGTCTGTGCTTCAAGTCAACAAACTCCCAGTCACCAGAGCCCTCGGAGCAGGACTCCCCATGGCGTGGTAACATTTCATGCCCAGGTAGCAGGAGTGCACTTTGCATCCTCATAGAGTTCCAGAATGCCTTGCCTTGGAAGGCACCTTGAAGATCACCTAGTTCCAACCCCTTGCCATGGGCAGGGATGCCACTGGCTGGATCAGGGTGCTCAGGGCCCTGTCCACCTTGGCCTGGAATGGGGCCTTCCAAGGATGGGACATCCACAGCTTCTCTGGGCAGCCTGTTCCAGTTTATCACCATCCTCAGCACTTCTTCCTAACATCCGATCCAAATCTCCCCTCTTCTATTTGAAACCCATTCCCCTTTCTCCTATGACTCTCTGCCTCCTTTAGACACTGGGAGGCTGCAATGAGGTCTCCCTGGAGCCTGCTCCTCTCCAGGCTGGACAGCCCTGGCTCTCCCAGCCTGGCTGCAGAGGAGAGCTGCTCCAGCCCTCTGAGCATCTCTGTGGCCTCCTCCAGCCCCACTCTAACAGGCATATCCTGCCTGGATGCAGCACTCCAGATGGGGCCTTCTGAGGGCAGATCAGAGGGAGACATTCACCTCCCTCCCCCTTCAGCCTGAGTAACACTGTAGCCTTTCCATGGCTAAGGAAACCCAACCAAACACCCCCTAAAAAGAAACTCAAACCCTTCCTTAGCCTTCCTCCTTCATTATTAGTCTGTTGCTGAAAACTCTTACAAGACTGCTTTTACCCTAGTAAACAGCAATTAAAACTAAATCAATTTTTTTTTAAACTGTTGAAAATCCAACAGTTTAGATCCTTATTTCAAGTCTCTGAGGTCTTGACGTTTTCAGGCGTTCAACTATTCCTCTGCCAGCATTTCACAACAGGGCTGGGAGGAGGTTTGCTCTGCTCCTGGGGACAGCACCTTCCTACCAAGGCCCTGCTCTGCTATGAAAGGTGAGACACCAAAAAAAGTCAAATTAAAATTCTGTTTGCCTTCTAGGCAGTCTGCCACTGAACCTGCATTCAGAGGGATCAGCTGGGGCTTCCAAGAGGCAGCAACCCTGTCTCAGCCCTGCCAGATGCAGGAATGCTCCTCAGCCCCTGCTCCCATGGGTGTTCTCAGGTGTGGGGAGGATGGTGAAAATTCATCTAATGCTGTGGATAGTGTAAGGATATTTTCAGCTCATGCTCTACATGAGGAGGTCATTTCTTACAAAAACTTCTGTTATGACAACTCTTGCTTTTAGGTAATTGGCAACATGTTGAGAGTTTGAATGGGTAAAGATGACTTTCCCATTTTCCTGAACCCTGTGTCTGGGAACTGAAGCAAAGGTTTCCGTCATTCTATTTGCATACTTCGTTTCTCATATTCAGTGCTTTGAAACTGGTATGAAGTACTTAATTATTCATATATTAAATATTTATTTGGAATTAATTTAGCATCTTAGCATTTTTATATCAAGCCTTACATCTCCTTTAGGATTTTTGTAATCTAAAATTCTGCCCTTTGGACCCAACATTTTTGGAAAGCAAAAGCATTTAAGCTGAGATGAAGCACAAGTGGATTTACTGGATTATGAACATTCCACATGTTAAAACAAGGAGCCTGTCCACTCACGCTCCAGGTACAGCTGAGGTTGGCTGAGTGGACTCAGCACCACTTGTGTTTTGGGGCAGGACTGGAAGGCTTTTAGCAGGAATGTGTCCTCAGGGGTAAGGGAAGAGGGAACACTGAGGAAAAGGAGGGGCACCTTTTAGTAAGTCAAACATTTGAAGGCTATTGGGCTTGATCCCCCTCATTGCTGCTAGACAATCGCAGCAGGGGGCTGAGAGACCTTTATGGTAAGGCCCAACACTTTTTAATTAAACCTGTTATTGAAAATATTCATCACTCAGTTGTGGGAGGGAGAGAAACCTCCTGTCCATTCTCTGCAAATGCCAGGGAAGCTGTAAAGGCCACATACCTGTTTTATCTCCTCCCATGTGGGCAGTTTTGAAGCAAGGTGCAAGACCTCTGAAACAACCTCTGCCTTTCCACCACAGGAAGGAAGAAGTTTATCAACTTCCAAAAAAAAAGGTTAATTATAAGAGATGCTGATTTTGAGCTGTGGGTAGACAAACAACTGCACTCCACAAGGTGGCAGAGGTCCAGTAACCAGCCCAGTCCTTCAGCCCCATCACCATGACCATGGTTGCCCACAGGGCTCCTGCCCACAGGGCACCCAAGCGAAATGTGTTGTCCTCATGTGTTGTCCTCATGGGCTGCCAGGGATTTGTAGCTGGTTATTGATGGGGGGTGCGAGACACCCGGCCCTCCACATGGCTCAGCACAGGAACAGGGTTGCACTCCCCAGAGCAATTCGGCAGACCAGTCCCTCTAAATCCACCATGGGGAAATGTCCCTCTACATGCACACAGAAATAGGAAAGGATTACTAAAAGGATTATCAAAAGAAGCCCTAAAGAGATGTTATTATTGACAAATAATAATTTGTACTAGTCTCACTGAGGATTGCATTTCACTTCATGTGTCAATATGTGCCTTTGCTTGACTACAACAATGGCTGTGACTTCAGAATATGTTTCCCAAAATCTTCATAAGGAAGTGCTGGTGGGTGGTCTATTAGAGAAATATATATTAAGGCTGTTCAGAGTAAGTAAAAACATTTCTGACGTCCCCTGATGGTAGTCCGTAGTGAGTGGCTTCTTTTGCAGAACTAAAACCCAGGTAGGTTTCTTTTTGCTGGGGCTGCTTTGCACCTTCCTTAATACCTTCCTAGTACTTCTCTTGGCAAAGGATGGAGGCTTTGCAGCATCTTCCATCCTCCAAAAACCTGGATATGCTTAGGCCTCCTCCAGTTGCCCAGGCTTGTCTGCCAGCTGAGGAGTAGGAAGGCTTAGCACTGGAAGGAGTGGTTTGCTGGGGGTCTGGGTGGTATTTCAGCAAATCTCAGTCCCTGGTCCTTGGCACAGGATGATGATGGGTCTCACTGAGTAACTATAGCCTGTCAGGTGAAAATTGTTATTGTCCTATAGCTGTGTTCCTTCGCTTTTGAGAAGCGCTGCTTCCAGCTGCTCTCTCAGGTAGTGTTAATACTTGGAGTCTGTGTTTTCTAAGTGAAAGTGAGTAACATTATTCCCAAGCGGAAAAAATGAAAGTGAAAAGGCATCACGTTCGCACGGCATAACACGTGCCCGTGATGGGGACAGGGACAGCAGCTTACCAAGGTTCAGGAAGGCTTACTCCTGTTCTGCTCTGCAGGTTTCATGTCCAGGAAAACACATTTCAGGCCTGAAATACTGCAAGTGAAACAGAAACCAAGGGAGGTTGCAACTTCTGATCAGCTTTTTAGAGGCTAATATTGGGATAATGTTAACTCCTCTCCTTTTATTTTTTTAATTGACCTGATAGTTTATTATAAAACTATCCTCAATACCCTTACCTATTTCAAAAATACAGGTATTTTCTTAAATTCACTTTGAGGAGAAGACTGCAGAGCAGGATATTTCATTCGATTTCTCATTAAAGAAAAGCTATAAGCAAAGAGAAAATTATTTTGGTTTCAGTTTTATTCTTTGTGTAGAATCTTAATATATTAATGTAGAAAGTTTAATTTCCTTTTATGATAATTGTAATAAGCTGAAACTTGCTAAGCATAAGCTACTGAACCGAAACCATGACAGCCAGGTAGTTTAAGTGCAAGTCTGAGCACGGAAAGTTTGGAGGTTGTCTTTATTTTATTAGAGGTATGTAAGTAATACCAGACATATAGAGAGGTAAATGTATGATACCTAGGTTTTCCTTTTGTTAGAAAAGAACGGTAATAAAATCATGGCAACTTAGACTGAGACTGTATTTCAGGAATTTGTTATGACAGGAAAATGCTCCCAGGCAAAAACACTGAAAATACTGTCTGGCTTAAAGGAAAATGTGTTTTTCTTTGTGCTGACAACTGAGCACTAAGACTGAAAACAACTTCAACTGTTCAGTTACTTTTTGCTAATCAATGCTTTTCTAGCTTAATACTTTTTTCAAATTATATATATATATTCATTGAAAGGGTAAATTACTAACGCTAAATCAAAATCTTAAAGAAAATTGCCACAGCTGGTGTCTAGCCAAACTACCATCTATTTAAACCCATTATAAAATCAGCTGTATGCCATTTCATTGCAGGTTACTTAAAGCTCAAATTGACTTGACCTAAAGGGTTTTTTAATTGTTCTTTTCAATGAGAATACCTGGCACATCATGTCACCTAAGAATACAGCTATTTAAAACAACATTTCTGCTTATTGTCATTTCATCCACCAGTTAGCTAAAAGTTAAGCAATAATGAGGAATGGAAAACATCAGTCTAAAATTTATGGCCATTCTATGAATAAATCATTTTGTATGTGTCTTTCTAAGAATGATAATTGAATAATTTTGACAACTTGTAATTTATCTACTAGGAATGTCCCTTGTTTATTACTACCCCTGCCTAAATATGGCAACACGACTAAGGAAGCAGATCATTAACACACTAAAGACAAAAATTAAAAACCAAAAATAAAGATACATGTACACACAGACAACTCACTTTAACAGACAGAGGAGCTCAGTTCAGTTTGGTCATCTGTTCCTGTTATAAGCATACTTTTTCCAGCATTACAGGCTACAAGGGTAACATAGAGGAAGACTGTCAAAATGATTGAAAATTATGACTGTGCTAGGACAACATTTTGTTCATTCTACAGCTGGTCCCAGTGGGGCCAGACACAAAACAAACACAAATAGTATTTAGGTATGCTCCTTGGACATCAAACTAACTCCTTGCATAACAAGCAGCTAGAAGAACAACAGCTGTTCACTCACCAGGACCACACTGTCTAGTCACCTTGTTTGGGGAAGTCTAGGCTCTATTAATTCCTTACCATTTATGTATACAGAAACATAGAGCAAAGTAACATACCTAAAAATTGTGTTCACATTTCTAGAGAAAAGTACATGGCAGAGTAGCAATTTAATCTGTGGTAAATTAGGTATTATCAGTTGTTGCAATTATCTTCTGCTTTTTTATGCTTTTTTTCATCTGCTCCTCTTCAGTTTTCAATAAACATCATTTCATCTCAAGTATCATTCTTTATTATTCATACTAATATAGCTCCATCCTTAGATATAAGGAGGATTCTGTTCTGAGAAGAAAAGAAACCAGAGCCCATTGATGCCAATAGCAACAAAGTCACAAAGCAGTATTACAAATGGAATGCAGTCTCACTAATCCTGTAAACCATCAAGATGACGGATACTGTGATATGCCATCAAAATATTCCCAGTCTCTAGGGGAAAAAAAAAAATTGTCACAAGCTCACTTTCTATAGTTTGGCTTATCCAAGAAAAATGGGATGTCATGATGCATATAAACGCAGCTCTACTTTTACTCCCTTGCATCTATAAACCTTTTCCTCCTGTGAAGCCTATTTCTATGTGGGGCAGCAGATATAAAATAATTTACTTAAGTCACAAATAAGAAACACCTGTGGGAAACTGTCATCAACATGAAAACAGGTACTTTAAAAAAATGGGGGGAAAAATCCACCACATGAAACAGAGATTGGTATTCGGATTCTTGTGTGACTAATTGTTTTTCTTGACCATTCAAAGCCCCTAATAACCTCTTAGACTATTTGTTCAAATAAGGCTCCTTTTCCAACTCTCTTTCTAAGAAATACTGAAATTTTTATCCTTTATTCAGTAGCACACATGCTCCCTGTGGCACATCCCATATAACTATTATAGACTATTGATATAGGTATTGTAGAAACTGTGAAGCATGTAACAACACAGATCTTTGCTCTACTGAAAGCCATTTATTACTGCATAACATCAGATCATGCCAAATATTCAACATCACCATAATTAAAACATTGATAATGCTACCCATTGCCTGGAGCAGAGCAGTATGAAAATCCTTACTGTAAACAGCATCAAAATTTCCAACAGGTATCTCACCTTGATGAGTTCTTCCTTCAGCACAAAAAGGCCATGAAGAAACATTTTCTCACTCCAGAAAAGTAATTTAACATGTTCAGATTGACACACCACCATCTCAGAAAGCAAATTCTCTTTGGGCAAGTATGAGAGAAAACCCTGGAGATAATTGGTATCACCATGTATTTTATACCTGCCATTTATGCCATTGCCATACCAACCTCCAGTTACTCCTGTAACTATAAAAAGTTGCAGAACTCAGGCTAAAGGTAGGAATTCACTCCTACTTGCTCACTTTTGTGCTTCCAAGTAAGTGGGCAGCATCCTTCAGTTTTTCACATGAAAAAAACCCCAAGCATTTAGATCTTTTAGATATCTAAGTATCTATGAAGAATAAAATATTTCAGGGTCCTTTTCCCCCTCTAATATCTATTGTTTGTAATTCAGCTTGCCACATGCACTGAAGCTATGTTCACAGTTTTCAAACTTATCATTATTTAAATTAAAACATGGCAGAATTCATAAATATGTAAAACCCTTAAACATGCAGCAAAAATTTCATTAGGAGCTATTTTCCATTGTGTTAGTTTCAACAGATGATTTTAAATTAGGGTAGAAAACTGAACACAGAAGGCTTATTTTCATTTTAGAGTAACATGACTGTGACTGATCTTTTCAAATCGTTCCACAATCGCAACTTGGACCAAATTTTAAACTGATAACAAAATCAATGAAGATAGAGTATATAGACGCAGGAACTATTCTTAAAAATTTCTTCTGTCAGCAGAGTTTTTTACAAATAGGAAGAAATACACTTGAATACACTTCACTTAGCAAAGGTGATAATGAAGTATGCATTTGCTGACATCATCACTAGCTCCCACTATCTGGTCAATGGATAACTAGGGGCTTGATTTCTTCAAACACAATTTCAAATACCTGCTAACAGAATTCTTGTGTAATACTTAATACTTAAATCTTGTTAAAAAATGACTGGCAAGTTTGAATACATTTTTAATAAACAGAATGAGGCCCAAAGTAATCTGATGAACTTTTATTAAAAATAATCTTCCTACAGTAGTATGGAATTCTTTAGCAAAGTCAAGCCACCACCTGTTCCACATCCTTCTTCACTAACACCGTAAATCTGATCTTTTCTGTTCCTCTAGTGATCAGCACTTCTGGCTGATAACTGCTCCGCTTATAAACCCAAACGCAGCTTTTGACCACGAACGCAATTTTCAAGCAGCCAAGAAACAGTTTTACTGAAAAGGAAACCACCTTCCCTTCAATGAGACCAACTTTTTTCTAAATCTTTACAGATGGATATAATTCCATGCACAGTCATTAGATCCAGAAACTTCTCAGAAGAGAACCAAAAGTTGCTTAATGACACATCGCAAGTTGATTTGTGATGCTCTGCATGCAGTTTGCTTTTTAAGACTTTTTGGGCTGCTTCCTTTTCCGAGTGCAATGCATTCAAGATGCGTGATGTCTGGTTCCCAGCTCTGCTTCTATCTGCTGGATGTCATTATGCACTGAAGATTTATGTTCTATTTCGAATCGAATGCAAGTTTCACACTCTAAGTAGGGGTGCCCACAAACATATTGTTCTTTGGAGAACAACTCTCTGGCTCCATAGATATAACTTGGACAGAGTAGTTCTGTTCTTCTGCAGCCCATGCCCGATCCAGGTCCACAAGCCCCATACACTGTTTTCCTAAAAGGAGAGCAAGGGAGAGCATGGAAACTCAGAATGTAGAAATGTTATCAGAAACGTGCACTTCAATATTTAATGTTAGGAAAACACATCAGTAAGCCATCTAAACATAAGTTCCACATCTACTTTAAAAACCATCTTAATCTGTTTTACTTCAAATAGACACTCTTTAATAGTTCCAAATCACATCTGTGACTTGTAACCCTCATTTAGCAAAGATCTTGAGAAGATTATTAACTCTTTATATATGGAGAAAGCTTAAAAACAGTCGTGCCTTTCTCAAAATGTACAGAAAAATCCATACTTTAATGTAAAAGCCACAGGAGGAAGAAAAATGCCTCGTTTACCCCTTAGCTCCTTGAATTTCCAAACTTCTACTCCCTTTATGACCATAACTGTTTTCTTCCTGTACTTTCATCTAAAATCTGAAAATCTCTGATTATTGAACTTCAACAAAAGACTACAACACAAAAAAGTTATCCAGTCTAACTGATTTGAGACATATTAATGTAACTACTTGTAAACAAGAATACTACATTGGTAATGCAAATTAAGCTTATCTCAGATTTATCTGCAGAAAAACAGGAAGGATAAATGGAGATTTTCAGCTTAGACATTTGTATTACGATACAGCCATGCCAAGATGATGGGACCATTTGTCTTTACTTATTTACTCATTATAATTGATTATTATGTTCTGAAATACCAAATTGACTTGTCAGATTGTATTTCAGCAGTTTGAAACGCTATTGCAAGAAAGGTTTAACACTTCCCTGAAACATTTTATGACTAATAGTCATACAGTCTCAAGTCCTGAACAGGGCACAATCCTCCATCAGTCTCAAAGCCAATGATCCTACCTCTTTTCCTGCTCCTGACAAAATTCCATAGTTAAATATATTTGGGGTCTGAGACCAAGGGAAGAAACAGGAGCACATCGTGTTTACCATCAGGATATGAGTCTGGCATATTCCTCTGGAGCTCCTCTGGAACTGCTTATCTCTTCCCTGAATGTATACAGAGCTTTTGCATCTGCACCATTATAAGCCCTGTTACGCACCCTGGTTAGGTGCCTGCAGAAGTTTTGGTGGGTGGCACAAATGCTCCTCAGAATCCTTGTATTTCAGAACAGCTGGTGCACATCACACTTTAATACAATACTCAATCCAATCTATTCTGTCCTTCCACAGTGAGCTGATGGCCAGAACTATCTTCTCCTTCTCAGCTGAATTCCTTAGTTACAAAATAATTTCACTACTTTGAATTCACCAACATTATGACATTTGGACTCTGTTCTGTTGGTGGCTTGGAATTTGAGAGGGGTAGTAATTGGGTAGGAGACAATTTAGAGACAAAATATTAAGGGAGGGCCTAAAAAAGAACTTTGCAACTCAATTCTGTATGGATCTATATGTTGCAGGGAGAAATTAGCAGTTTATAAACCCAGGCCACAACTCTGCAAATTACTCTTTGTGGTACTATTCTTCCCACATTTGTTGCTTCATAGAAAAATCACCTTCTGTGGCTGGTTGAAAAAAATGGTATGTACACATTCCTGCCACTGACAGCAACATCCTTATTATTCCATGTGTACACACTAAAGGGCAGCTGGGATTGTCACAACTGGGGCCTGGTTCCCTGGGTGCTCTCAGTAAGACTGTGTGAAATGCATGGAGCAGTTCTGTGTGAGCAGGTGGGCTGTAGCAATGTCCACAAAGCCATTTAACCATTCTGTTTGCACTGCTGCATATAGTGTGTAAAATCCACATTTCCAGTGACAATGATACACAGAACTTTGTTCATTTAAAAGGCAATTGCTGTGTGTAGCAGAACTGAGTTCAACTGTATATTTTTACCTTCAGAGATACTACAGAAATCAGTGATAACTCATCCGACAAATGTGTTGTTTCAGCGATGACAATCACAGACAAATGCTGTATTTTAACTTACAGGTAATGAAAGCAAATGATTTGTCACTTATCTGAAGCTACATAAATTCAATGGTAATTGCTAAAATGTAGTTTACAATATAATTCTAAAATATTAAAGAAGTAGCAGAATAAGTGATTTTTGCCACCATTTACAAGAGAAGAAAAAGCCTCCACCTGTTCAGGAATACTCTCATTAACTGAAATACACAGTTTTCTCAATACCTGCTCATGCACTTACCAAAAATGTTCTCACCATGACTGTAACACTGATCGCATGTAATTGTTTGCAAGGAAAACGTAAAAATACTGCTAAACAGTATTCCCACAAAACCAGTTTCAAAGCTGAAGCAGAACAGGGAAATGGGAACCATCTTCAATGAAACAGACTAATATTACAGGGAACTTTAAGAAAAAGTAACATTCTTGAAAACAGAAAAAGCAATGATGTAGGGGAAGAGGAGAATAAGATTTGTATTTATGGGTTTTTGTCAGAACAAAACATGTGAAAGTTACATTTGTGGAAAAAAACCCTGCAGTTTCAGACATGGTCAACAGATAAAAATTCCAATCTTTCAAAAAATAAATTTGGGTCCTATTTCAATTTTCAGTCCACAGTGTGGGGTGCTACACTGGTAACTGAACACTGCCCGTTTTAATTTCTTTTTTTCAAATACTGTGATGATAACAAAAGAAGATGCAAAATTTCTCATCAGCTTGTATACAGAATCTGCATAACTTTCTTTTTGTGCAGTGAGCATAAGAAATCTCTTGAATGCTTCAAATTAAGCTTTTAAAGAACATTATGATTATTTGCTACTACTGCTTTAATGTAGTTTGTAAGTACTTCTTCTAAGCCAAGAATTCAGAGTTATGTTCTTAGAGTTCCAAGCCTCGTCTGTCTTTTCTGACCTGGAAGCTCATTTACAGCTTCCATCAGAACAAGGACCACGCTTTTGTAAGTCAAAGCTTACGCCACGTATTTGAAGTAGTTTGTATTTTGCTGTCCTTCTGACCAAAGCCAGCCCAACCTCTGCAATTTACCCTTTTTGTTTGCAGCTGGCATTAGATGTCTACCCTCCTAAGAGAGTTATCCCCAGTGACTATGAGCAGGACAAAGGGGGCACAGTGAAAGTCACTACTATGAATAGTCTGTGCTTTTAATGGAAGATGAACTGGCAGTAGCAGGACATCAGTGAACTTTACTAAGATCTCATGCTCTTCATAAAATGGTAGGGGAAAAAAAAAGGTCAAGCAATTAAAAAAAAAATAAAATAAAAAACCAAATCAGTAAAATGCAAACTCTCTATCTTGTATTGGTGATTTTGACATAGGGGAAGTGTTTCTATACCACAGAATGGAAGAGTAAGAGTGAAATGTGACAAAACTAAAATTTTTCAAGTTTTATGTGAAGACAGCAACTTAATGCCCCATTCATAAAGGTCTACTTCTTCCTTTATATATCAAGTGAAATCATTACTGAGATGGTTTACACAGCAGCTGCGGAAATTCATACCAATTAGCCTGCGTTCAGGTGGAAGCTGAACAGCTGTCTGATCTGCAAATCTGCAAAGAATCATGTGCTCCTAAAAAAAAAAAAAAGAAGATAAAGCACGAAAAATCTAATTAAATGTTTAAAAGTATTAAAAGTGCTATTACACTGAAGACTGTATTTCTAGAAAATTTATCTGTGTGCAAATCCCAATTTTTATTCTGCAAATGTGTGTAAATCAAGATTTTGTAATCACTATCTCATTTCTCCTCATCAGTATTTGTTCCTTGCTAAACTTTCTAATTATTTTCAGCACTTGAATTGGATGCAGTGTATACAAGAGAGCATTCTTCAAAGACATACTGCAGACTAATTTTGCCTTCAATAACTGATAAGCAACACAGTCTTCTTTTAGTGCAGTCATCATAGGGCTGCACCTCTGCATCAATAAGCAGCCAAGATAAAATTCTTAAACAGGTGATTTGAACTACTGCACACTTCTCCAAGCAGTGATTTTGAATCCCAGAAGAACAGCCTCATGGTCAAACTTCCTCTGCCCTGCCAAATCCAGTCAGGATCAACTCAAAAGATCCTGAAAGCAAAAAATACCTGGCTGTGAATAGGAAAGTCTCCTCCATCAAAATTATCATAATGCAATTTCAACCTATCCCTGTTCCACTAGGAATTTTTGCAAAGGCTTCTACAACAGCTGCTGTTGATTTCTTCCTATCCTGTCACCCAGGAGGATGGTGCAGTGGACGATGCATTTCATTCCCTGTTTAGATCACTACACAAGCAGGCAGAACCCCATATCCTCATTTGCCTTCAAATCCCACCACCTATGTCAGCATTATGATTGCTCAAAGACCAGCAAAGCCAAGGAATGCAAGTTAGCCAGATGGTGAAAGAAAAAGCCTTGCAGGTGTAGCAATGAAATGAATGCTCTGATGACCGCTGTGTTCTTTGGGACAGCTGCAATATTAAGTACAGGACAGCGTAAATCAGAACCATCTTAGAATTGTACAATGTTCCCAAGTCTCCTACAATGTCACAGGGAGAAAACAGAAATGGACAACAACAAAAAGTGCTCTCCAAAGCAAAACTTCCAGAGCTATAGTTCTCAAAAAAAGGCATGTGTCTTGCATCAAAAACATTTTTTTTTTTAATTCTTGCCTGATAAAAAATTATGACATTAAAGAGTTGGTTCTTGTACCAGATGGAGAGAGCAACTTCACCTAAGGACACTTCAGGTTCTTTCAGTATTCTGAAGTAAGAATACTTACTCCACCTTTTTATCAGAGGGATATAAACATCCAAGAGTTTCTATTCCACTAAAAAGCTTCATATTAAATCAAGATGGTATCTACCCCACCGTACACTTCATCCAACTCATAAATTTAATAGACACCTGACTGCAAAAAATTTTCTTATATATTATAAAATAAAATATTATCACCATTTGATACTCAAATATTACTAATTTAAACAAATTTACACTATCTTGAGGTAAGGATATTTGTTCCCTAGTACAGCTCATTGGCATGAAGGTTTCCAGCTCACAGCTTCATAAAAGATATGGAAGCAAAATGAGAACGTGTTATAATACATTTAGGACTTACATTTACTCAACCCACCCAGTTCCATTCAAATGTGGCTATTTTTGTAGTACAAAAGAGTTGAAAATGTCAACCCAGACATGAGTACTGGAGAACAAAGGACAAAAAAGGGCCATGGGCAATGTGGCCACTACTAGGAGAGAAGCAGCAGTGACAGGCAGCTTGGAGAGAAAAATAGGGATTTAGAGGAGAGGGAAAAGATCCATCTTAGCACACAACTCCTCACCAGCCTTCAGGCACCCAATACAACTTGGCTCTTTGCAACATCAATGTTCCAGCTCTTTGGACCAGACCAGAGCCAAGGTGAGCCTTATCACTTAACCTGAAAATCTGGACTGACTCCAATGCCTTGGCTTCTTAGAGAGGTGATCCAAAGAGATAAATTAGAGCATGTTATGACTACATTGTTTACCCATGACACACATTAAATTTTCAGAAATAAGAAGAAAATCACTTCTAAAATAATGAAGGTTATAAACTGCCCAAACTTTGTGTGTGCATAAACAGTTAACTTGCTTACTAGAACACCCTTACCTTCAATTCCTATTAAATTTCCAAAGCAAAAAGTATATGCAAAGTTATACAGTTCTACTTTCTAATTCTCCTTGTGTCTTGAGAAACAGTCTCAAAATATATCATGGTAGAAATCTACAGATACCTTATTCTTTGCAACTATAAAATAATGAATTACAGCATAATGTTCTCATCAAAAAAGTTTTGGAAATGCCAGACTGCTGGATGTCTTTTTAGATCTCACGAAAATAAAAGATAAGAGAAATTAATTTAAAATGGGAACTGGAGGGGGTGACACAAACAATGTCTGGCTAACACATGGCAACTTTGGCTGCTAGCCAATAACCTGTAACAATTTATTAATATGAAATATAAAAATGCATACAGCTAGCTGCATAACAAAAGTTATTTATAACTAGGATTATTGGAGGCACCAACCAGCCTAGACCATTTGTATAGAATCTTATGTTATTAAGAGCAGCAATATTTTCTAGCCTTGTCTTTGACTCCTGTGCCCTTTGCAACACAAATAATAAAATGATGGAATCTACAGTGTTGACAAACCCTGTGATTTAAATCTCCATGGATTAACAAATTAAGAAAAAAATTCACTGAGTTGTAATGAAGTTATACACACTATTCTAATCTAGGCATCCCTGACTTTATACTGTCACCATCTCCCTCTGTACTGTTAACTAGTTTATTTTAATAATGTTAGTAAATTAATTTCTTCTGAACTGAAACCAAAGTTCTTTGTGATTATGTGTTAGAAACACATAAATTTAAACAAGGGGAAAAACAATGACAGGTCTAAATCCATTGTGTGGCTTTTGTCATCTCAACCTGTGGGCATTTATTTCCACGTAAATTAGCAAAGTGTACATAAACCAGACTGTCATGAATGTAAGATTAGTGTATTAGCAGATAACTGAATTTCCCCTAGAAGATAGCTGGAAATTTTCTTAATTTTTAAAACTCCCCCTCATTTGAGGATTAAAAAGGATAATCTCCATTTTCCTGCCACATACAGCATCTTTGCACTGCTCACTGTCCCCAAAAAACATTTGGATATTACAAATACCTTCCTTTGCTTTCATATTTCTGTTATAAAGAATTATTCTGCATCTCCAAAATTCATTTCTACATTGTAAACACCAAGACCTCTGTCTAGGGTGTGACATGTAAATTTAGTAAAGTTTCTCTATAACCTTGCTTCTCTCAAAAGGAAACATTTTCTTTCCATGCACATTAAGTGCATCTAAATGCTCATGACAAAGTTTAACAGATCAGTACCAATTTTCTGCTGTCCACCTCTCTGCTCTTGTCCTTTTTCACTCCCCTGTTATCTTCACTCTGTCAGATCTGTGTGCTTCATTGATTCTTTCTCCCACATTTCTCTCGGACTATCTCCACAGACCCTTCCTTTGCAGGGTCAAAATGCACTTGAATACTTTCAAAATAATTTTGAAAAACATTTTTAAAACAATCCTCCATAAAATTCTTGATGATCAGTACAAGCTTTTCCTGCTTGGTATGTCCAATCTTTTAGACATAAATTAGAGGGAAAAATCTAATGATTTTTAGAAAATAACAGCTCTATTTAAGACTTAAATAAATTGGCACCTTGTAATTGTTAATGGATACATGCTGAAGTACTTTAGGAATGGCTCACTTATACATTATGATAAAACAAGGGGTTTTTTGTAGAGAAACTATTTAATTTTACTGAAGAAAAAAAGCCTTAAAACATGGATGGTGGAGAGAAAACACAATGACATCTGCACTATTAATGAACATTGCACATAACACATGACACTCCTTGCAATTAAAAGATAACCACCTATATTTCATTCGACAAGATGACCCAGTGAAACACAGGAAACTGCACATAAACCTTCCCACCCTGCCATTTTACATACCTTGTAGGACAAAATTTCTTTGAACTGATGACTGAAAAAAAAATAAATAGACCAATTTAATTAACATCTAAAACCAGCAGAGGTGGAAAGTAGGAGCAATTATTTAATACTTGAACACATTTTAAACAAAGTAGCAGTATCTGTATGCTACAGAAAGGCTTTCAAAAATACCAAACCCCACTGCAGCTCCTGTTCACTAGAAAAGGAAAAGTGTACCTGATAGTGTCTTTTTTTCCCTATTATGTTATTCATAAAAATATTCTCTCTCTAAATCATTATAAATACTAACACAGATTTACTGTTCTTTCCTCATTGTCATATAAATACTTTATATATATTTAATAATACTCTAGACAAGCATATATTTTGTCTGTATTACAAAAGTAAGGGGCCTCTACAAAGGAATGGACTACAGAACACAGACACTACGGGGATATGGGCAGACTATCATGTTTTATGATCATATAACATAAGGAAAAAAAGAAAAAGCAAACCCTAAAATGCAGCTCGAAATAGGGTTAATAATTTTCTACAGAGGCTTGTGATGCTAGATTCAAAATTTTATCAAACACAAAACCCTAATTTATATTCTTGCAGCATCTATAGCAACAAAACTTTTCTAACATAGGGAGCATTTCTAGTCTTAGTGGTCCAAAAACGTAACTGGTCAAAAGTCCAACATTATACAGTCAATTTTAAAACAAGCCAACTGAGAAAAGCTATTTGCCTGCTAGTTTTAGAAGACTTAAAATTTTATAGCCTCTTCCTTAAGAAAACTTATTTGTTCTATTGTGTTTCAAGAGAAAACAAAAATGGACACACACAAAGAGATGGAAGAATCAAATGGACTAAGAAAACACGGTTAAATCCAAAGCTTATCAAACTGACAAATTCTAAATATTTACTCTCTATGCTTCTGTGCCAGCACACTTGGGTATTACAGAAGAATATGAAAATATGAAAAATATTTAACATAGATGCATAAGATTTTTTAGATTTATTGATTCCTTGTCAGATTGCATGTTTCAGTTTGTTATTTTAGAAAATATATACTTCTGTCAGTTCCTAGTAGAATTAAATCTTGGACATCAAAAATGCAAAGCTCAGCTTTATGAAAAAAAAAAAAGCCAACCAAAACACAACCCTCTTCTGCCACCTAGTTCTGATTGAGAAGGCTGTATCCTCTTACCTTCTGCCACTTTATGCTTATCTTTTAAATTTTATTTGTAGCAAAGGCATTAAAATTCTTAAGCATAAGATACATAAGTATCTCCCACATGGCGGATTTGAAGACAAAATATGTACACAGTCCATTGAAAAAGTACTAAAAATATGAACTGAAATACAGGAGAGCTTGTCTACTTGGGAATAAATCAGAGAAGTTTCACGAGCAGTAAACTATGGTATAAAGCAGACTCACTTCTTAAGCTGATTGCTTACATCTTTCTGCAACATTAAAATGTCAATTCCCCTTCTTACAGTAATTTTCGTGAGTTTTCTATTAACTTTGTGATTTAAAGGAAAAAGGTCTGCATATTACATACTGTATCTACTATGCTCCCTGCACAAAGTCTCCTGAACTATGAAAGATGAATCCAGAAAAAAATAATCCAGCAATTACCAATCTGCCTCCCTTTCATGATGGGTTGGCATAGACAAAGGAGAAAACAGTTTCATTCTAAGTGTGAATCAGCTTAGCCCAGAAACTCGCAATGATCCTCAACTGATTAATTCTATACTCTCTTAGTATTTTATCCCATTACTTAAGTTGATATTTTAAGGCTTATCTTGTTAGCTTTCGTTTACCTTCGTGGATATTTGAACTTGACTGTGTTTTGAATGAAGCCATAACAGCACGGGGAAATGACAAAGGCTGCCCGTGCCCGGATGCAGTGCTCAATCACCATGTCTGTGGCCACACCACAGGCGTGCAGAGCCACCTACAGCAGTAAAAACAAAAACCAAGGAAACAAGAAAATTCCTTACAGCAACATTCTAAATACAATCCTGTTGAGCATCAACACCGAAGAAGCATCACTCACCAAAAGTACTCAGATGGAAGTGCACAACACTGTGATATCAAATAAATTAAAAACAAAGTTCTAGAAAAATAGTTACAGAGAAACTATTTGTGGTAATTAGTCAAAGGTTTTTGTCAAGCAAAAAGGACTTAGAAACACAAAGAACTATTTCAAAACTGGATTTTAACTTAGCAGTAAGAGAAGTAACACATATACCTGAAGGTCACATTCAAAGGAGAAAATTTAACAATGGAGGTGAGGGGAAGCATCAAACACAACTTGCCCTCCTTTTTTTTTCTTCTCCTTAATGTTTTCTTTCTTTTTCTTAGTGATGGGCTCTTCAGTTAAAACTAGAATAACATTTCATCACAACTACCTGTGAACCTTGACATGTGTTTGGGCAATGCACATTTGGTTGCACCCAAATTCTTCATACTCTCCTACAAAAAGGCAAGTTACGGCAGTACTCAGTAAAGTGCAAGGAAAGGCAAGCAGCTTTCTCATCTCTGTGATGCCAAACAGGCCAGGTGAAATGAAGACATTACTTACTCTGCCTCGTCCCATGTACTCTGTACCCCAAAGAGTAGGCCTGGTGCATAGATATTGCTCTGTGTTTTCATTGAACTAAGGACATTTTTGAGACATTTGTAATTTTATGCAGCAGTGTGGATTTATAAAACTACATTGTTTTCTTTGCTTTTGGTTCACTGTAAAGCTTTAAAGGGAAAAGATTTCAGGATTCAAAGTTGTTTTTCAAGGTAGAGCACTTGGAAGATAAAACCTTTGCTCTCAGATATAGATTAAAACAAAGTCTTTTTTTGTTTGCACTCTGCTTGCTGTAAGCTCAGCTGAGCAGACCATTAATCTTCAACTGAAATGTAACTGCATACAGACGGAAACAACTATTTTTTTCTCAAGTAGAACATTACAAAATTAACAAGAAAATAATTTCACAATGAAAGTTTTCTGCTCATATGAATTTAACAAGAATAAAACTAGTTTAACATAAGAAATAGAGTCAATATCACAGCTATCAGATTAGCATGGAATGTAATTATAGTTACTTCCTCATCTATCCAAGCAGAAAACAAAGATCTTTATTTTGCTTGCACATCTGAAAGAGACCGTAAAACAGCAGCAGATAAAACCAGTAGCTTTGCTGAGCCTATATGACCTGTTACACCAACTGATTTCTTCGTGTTTCTCAGAACCAATTTACTTAAGGAAAAAAAAAATGATAAAATTAACAACAAAGCTTTCTCAGGATATCCCGTATATCCAACTCACTGTCTGAAACAAAATAAATTGTGAAGACTAAAGCAGATATGCAGATATTTGTTCCACAAATCCAAACACCTGTAAACACAGGAAAGCAAAGTGGCCCCTGATGAGAGCAACAGAGCTAATGCAGTGTGAGACCATTGTCCTGTATTAGCCCTCTGGTACTGCAACTGCCCAGAACAGTCCAGTGCACACAGAAAAGCAAAGGGAAAAGAATGTTTCCTGAAACTTCAGGTTTACTTTAGTGATCTTAAAAATAAGAGTACTCAACACGCTCAAAAATATCCCTGCTCTCCAACCAAATGTTAAACTTTTCAACTTGTTCTCACAAATTAGCTGAGATACTGTGAGTACTACAGAAATATTAAAAACAGCTGAGATCTCAGACTCCTCTGGGTGTTGGCATGTAAATGAACACTGCACGTAAGTATTTGGAAGCTTTCACTTTAAGACTGAAATAATTTATTGTGGTAGGTGGTTGTACTACAACATGTAATAGTACAATGCACCAGTACATTTGGCACTCAAACATGTTGTTTCAGAACCTTGACCATCATTATCCCAAGAGTTCATAAGGGCAGAAATTTCATGCAGACCAAAAGGGAAGTGGTTCACACAGGGTTTTTTAACCTGCTTTTGAACTCCTGACAGATAAAAAATAGCTAAAAAACGTACATTTGATCAAGGTAACTAAAATGCATATAAACCTATTTTAAACTAATACCAAACCCAGAGACGGTGACTTCAGTCACATTCATTTTTCTATACCTCTCTAAATTTCAAGTACTATAACCAGTGAATTCGTCACTGTCCTTCCTCACATTTACACTATTGTTTTACTGAAAATGGTGAAGTCATGCAATGAGTGAATAGCTTTACAAGTCTCAGAAGATGGGTTTAAATATGGTACATTGATAAACTTTTTATTTATCTATGTATTATGGTATTTATATCCATTTTTGTATCAGACCAGTGTTTATGACATAACGAGGCAAAAGTAGCTTTATATAAAAGTATAAACTTTATATTTTTATGTTCAAACATAGGTCAGCAAACCAGACAGCTCCCATCTTAAATATGCCAAGGAAAGTTAATCCTAGGTTAATGAGCTAATGCTGAAGAGTGAATCATGGTATGATGTAAACTAATTCTGAAGCTGATACTGACACAGGTCTCCCAAAAAGGGAAAGCTCCAGGTTTGTCTGTTGAATAGACAAATCAAGTCACAGAAACTGAAATCACAGGCCCAGAAATGAAGCATTTCCAAGTGAATTTTTCTGACATATACTTCAGTATTTTCCTTGTCACAAAACTTGAAAGAGAGAATATAACACTTTTTTATTAAATAAAAACTCTACAGAAATATTTAACATAGTACTAACCTTTATAATAGACTCCCAAAAATTAAGACAGGAATTTCAATGATCACAAAACTGGAGACGCATTTCACAGAAAAACTATTAAACATTTCACACACACAGTTCAGTAAATTATTCACAAGATCCTGATATTCCTGAAATAGATCTTTAGTTCACCCACTGAGATTTATATGACACTCTAGCACAAAAGCTAAAGCCAGAGAATTGAAAATTTACACTTGGAAGGACTGGGCTAAAACCATTTATTCTCTCCTCTTTCTCCCACACTGTGTTTCTTTTCCTTTATCAAATAAACCAACCAAATAGTTAAACAGCACTGTTCATATACCATAAACCTTCAGCATTAAATGTCCTCAGCTACAGCCAAAACAAGCCCTTAGATGGATGATTTAAAGAATAATCAGTCTTGCATGGAAATCTTGAGCCTTGCCACAGAAATTCATATTCTAGTAACAGAATAAAAAAAGTAGAAGACAGGAATATATAGAGTTACAAAATACTATTTATGCCTTATTCTTCACTAGGGCTGCAGAGTTCTAGAGAATGTTCATCTAATTTATTTTCAAGGTCTGTAAGGATATAGAGAACTTTCTTCTCTCAGCTATTTTAGTTATTCTAAGAATAATGAACCAGACACTGAAGTTTTGAACTGGAAAAGTTATAATCACTTACCCCAATGTTGAAAGTCCCATTAAAATAGTCCAAATTTGCTTGAATGAACCAAATGTTGTTTAAACCTAGTTCATCACTTCTGTCTTTAGCACGGATCAGAGACAACTCCTTATTTTCTATGAGTACCACCTAGATTTCACACATAGGAGAAAGGCAAAATAATACTGAGAAATCAAAGTACAACATTACCAAGCAGAAAACTTTCTAGCTTAGTTGAGAAAACCTCTGAATTACTTGTGATAGAGTTTGTGATCTATAAAATGATTATCTGGAAACCCAATAACAATTGAAGGCATTTAATACTTGCCAATATTGATCAGTTTTCAAATATTTTATATTTTCCTACAACTTTTATCTTCTCAGGAAAGCACCACACACATTTGGGAGTTATGCTAAAAATTTCCATGTTTCAAACCTAAGTCCTCTGCTGAGACAACCGTGATGTCATGTGCCCTCCCTATATGCATATCTTTTTAAGGGGATCATCAGAGATCAAAAGCTCATACTATCTTTACTTTGTATTGAGAATTTACCTGACATGATGGCATCATGTGAGCAAGAACAATTCCAACATGGCCCTGTGAAAACAAAAACAAATGACATGGTCTGAATCACTTTTCGGTGTTCCCAGCTGTTCACTCATTATATGATGAGCATCTCATAAACAGTGACAGAACCTTTGAAAGCAGGTAAAATTTCGGCATTTGTACTTCTGCTTTGCTCTGTGGCAGCAACCACCTAGAACTGCAAAGATGAAAGCTGAAATAAATGGTACCACATAAACAGAAATATACATTACCCCTCCACTGCAAAAATCCACAATCACATCTCCAGGCTTTGCAAGCTTTGTCACCACTGCTACCAAATTGTTCAGTTGCTGTTGCTTCCTGAGAGCCCGGTCTCTAGACATCTTTCCTGGGAATGACAAGAGAAAATGCCTAAGTAGAGAACAGCAGTTCTCAACACTGATACTTTTAAATTGGTAACTGCAAAGGACTGGAAGTGAAGTTTGAGGTTAAAACTGGTTGAAACACTTGTGCATCTTAATCCACTTAAAACTAAATTCACATATTTGGTAGAGCTTTCTCTAAAATTAACCTTCCACTTGTTGCTGTTAATGTATCCTTAGGAACAGACTCACATAAACTTAATGTAAAGCAATCAAATCGGTGTAAGCTCTAGCCTGACTATACTCTAATCCTGTGATTCATTCTCAGAAACAGTGTTCAAACTTTCCCTAATAACCAGTCCTGTTTATTTAAATGACTGTGTGTGCAAGGAGGTACTTTTCAAAGCAACTATTCTTACATAGTGAAGTCTGGCTTTCCATCCCATCTGTAACACAACCAGAAATGGAAAAATGACTTATTTCTTTCAAATGTGCTTGGTAAAATCAAACATCCAGTTGCTTCAGATATAACAAATTTGTTTAGCCATCACTTACGTATTTGTAAAAATGCATTTTGTCTCAGTGGGGCTGAGTGCTGACAGACCTATTTAATACTCCTTTTGCTTGTTCAGAAAGCAGAGTTTGGCAGAGATATTGACAGCTCATCTTCACGATAAGAAAAAAGGTACTGAAACAACTCTCTTGAATGAGTTTTCACAAAGTAGGTTTAGGTGTGCCAAACAATACAAATGTTCTCTGAAATAAGAACATTTTTCTTACTTGGAGCATCACACTATATGAGAGTATGGACACTCTTCAGTTTCATATAAAATTCCTTATATTTTTCTACTAAAAATTTGTGTTTCCCAGTACCAAGTTGTATTTTAGAATAAAATCCACAAATCAGTGAAGTTTCCTGGTTACTATAAATAGGAGTAGTTCAATACTCATCGTCATCATCAATTGCATTTATTATATAGTTTATTGTTTAAAACTCTATCCTGAAAACGTATACTTTTGTATATTTTATCATAAATAACATTTCACTTTACAAATAAACCATCAAATCCAACAAACAGATAAAATTATTACTACATTGCTCTACACAGACTGAGAAAAAAATCACTTTTCAAGATACTACATTCTGTACTGTCAAGGCAAAGAAAAGAGAAAAACTGTCAAGAAGAGGCAGAGGAAGTAGGGCAGACTTCATTATGTGTAGTTACTGCACACTTTTTAAAAACACGGAATAATGACATTTTAAAAATATATTCCTAGGCCACTGCATGGTGACGTATTAAAATGTGTACTAGTTCTTAATGGAAATAAGAGACTGAACACAACCTCCTCACTTATCAACTCTCTGTGTATAAAACTGTGCATTTTATAAAAATAAAAACATGGTTATATTTCAAACATTTTTTAGACTCTGTGAAAGTTACCATAAAGAAGAGTCCCAGAAATTTTATCTTGTCAATGATAAAAATGTATACAAGGACTATAGATATGAAACTTTTAACATATTACATAAAATGATAAATACATTTTTAGGAATCATCACTTACACATGAGTAGACCCTTTGAAAAAAAGCTTTTATGAAAGATATACTGGAAACCCTAATTCCTTGTGTGTGTGTCAAGTATCTACGTGAACTGCTCCATAGCTTGTCTCTAATTTCCATGCTTCCATCTGATAAACTAATGTTCAAATGTTCTCAACACCTACAGTTCTAACTGTAGTCATTGAAGATGCAGGAATTCCAGCAAGTGTAAAATCAAGTGCTGTCATGATGTTTGAGCTAGAAATTCAGTTTCTGAGGTCAAACTTGTAATTTTTTAGGTAGACAGGTGTTGTGATTATTAATACCCAGAAAATCCTATACCTAAACCTCACACAAGTATGTTCTCTTTACATATGTACACGTGTGTACCTTCACATACCTGCACGCACAATCACAATGGATTGAGTTTTAAAAAGGAGCAGTTGTCCTGAACATAATGTTAATCCCACTGAGGCTACCTGGGTAATAAAGACTCAAGAAATCTAATTCATACTTGTCTGTTATATGCCCCAGACCTGAAATACAGATGTGGCAAGGGGAACACAATTAACGGAGACTTTTATCAGGATAATACAGGCCTCTACCTGGGTTTGTTCTCATCAATCAACATATCTTAACTGCTGCAGCCCACTAGAAGCTGTCTGTGCACAGTATCTACATCTGACCATGATTACACAGCTCTAAGAGGTGTGACTGCAGCTCAGCACGGTAAATCTGAGCTTGCTTTAAACAACCTAGTTTGGACACCAACAGCAACCCTGCTATGACAGCCCTGCATTTAGGGCAAACTAGTCTTTCAAAAATCTGTTCAGCTCCTATGCTGCTAAAAACCAAGATATCATCTTAAAATTAGCTCAGCTTATGTCTATAAACTGAAAGCACACTTCTAACTGCAGCATAAGCCTGCCCTTGTGGTTTTGCAGGTCCAAAACTAATGGACAGCAGCAGCAGCAGCAGTAGCAGGCCTAAATAGCAAGAAGTAAGCAGGGATATATCCTGGATATTATCCTGGACAGAATTTCAAGTTCAGCTAAAAACAGAAAAATGGGTCTTTCAAAAACACAGCAAAAGCATAAGCAGAGGTTTCCCTTTGACGGAATTCAGTATGGACTTGCCCTTTTAATAATCTCAAGATTGCCAAAGCACACAGAATCCCTTAGCTAGAAATACACCATGAAGATAAAAGGTGAACTCTGCTCTCCAAAATGAGTTTGAACACAATAAAACTTGCCTCATAAGTTTAGGTAGCTTAATTTATACTATAACTCATTTTTAACAGGGGTTGGTTCTCACAAGAATTATCTTAAAAAAATAACTTCGACCTTCACAAATTTTCTATTGGTGAAAACAAGTAATATAAGTACTTAAAGCTCATTCATGATACAAAGCTGCAAGCTCCCTCGGTAGAAAGCCTTCAGAATTCAAGACTTCCTCAGCTCAAGTAACTGTCACAATAAATTTACTGGGACTGGTGTAAATGTTTTTTTTCCTGATAACTTTGTATTGCTCCCTTATATCCACTTTCAACTTCAATCTTCCTAATTATGAGAGGGACCAGGTCAACAATTTTGTTTCCAATCCTATCTCTCAACAGGCATTAACACAAATGTTCTGAGTCATTTTCCTGCACAACGCTGAAGGACAGAACACACCTGTCATGCCTCAAACAGCACAAAAATTCACGTATGGAAATGCTCATACTTCCTTATCCAGCTTCTCTGTTCTTATTCTCCAACACTAAGGTTTTCCCAAGAGGTCTGGGATTTATTAGTATCAAGTCCAAATCCTGAAAAGCACCATCAAATTTTCATACTGAGCAAAGTTAGCAAATAGATTATACAGTCACTAAAAATCAGAAAGTAAAATAGTAACAAGTTTCATCAGCAAAAACAGATCCACTGCTTAGTAGTCAGTTAGTTGATCTCATGAATATTAAATTAATAAGAAATACTTTTGTAAAAAATTAGCCCACAGCCTTTAAAAACTCTGGAAATTAACTCTTCGTGATCACAAACCAACAAGGTTTCATCCTCCCTTAATGTGCAGGCAATAAGGAGTAAACATTCCCTTGAAAGATGGATAAAATCAAGCTTGAATCAATAGGTCTTTTGTCTGCTCTACCTCTGTATTTTGAGCTCAGTAGCTAGAATTACAGAAACACAGCAAGCTCTGACACATTGCCTGTAGAGAATGTTAGTTAGTATGGCTAACTAGTACTTCATTACAGCAAACAGGCAAAAATTCAGCTAAAACTTCTGTATCTAAAAATACTACAGCTCACTTCTCATTTCTCAAGCCCTGTGATAGCAAATAATGTTAATTTTTGTCTGGAAGAACAGTAAGAGAAAGAGTAGCTTGAAATTTAGCCCTAGCAGGCAAAACCTTGAAGAATGTGACCTTTTCCTACAGTACACTGAAAGGCCCCCATAAAATGATTTGCTCCCTTTGTAAGAACCCAGCTGACACACTGCAATACAGTCCCAGTAAGATTAATTTTCAATAAATGGTCACAACAAAAATATTTTATTAGGCTTCACAATTTCAACATTACTGTTAATTTAGCCCTTGTCAAGCAGAACTTTAAAGTCGCTGTGGCACTTAGAGGTCTTGCATTTTGGCACAAATAAATATTAACTTTTCAAACGGCAACCCCCCCTTTATTTTTGTATTACCTTGGTCAGTGTTCAAGTTCATATAATCCTTTAGTCCTCAAATAATACTTTCATATTTCCCAAGTTAAACTTAAAAAGTCATTAAAGTATCCTTAAAAAAAGTAAACCCCAAATATCACCTCTAAGAATTTAACCCTTTTCAACTTTGAAGTCCTAACGCAGTACATCTGAACACTGCTACCAACACACACACAAAACACACAATATGTGCATTCTCCTATTCCACAGAGTTCAACTGCATACTTAGCACAAGTATCTTTTTATTAAGTTTTCCATAAGCTGCAGTTAACTAATTCAAATGATAACATGACTCTACTTTTCATGGAAATTCAGGGAAAGTATATTTATTGCTATATTGATTAAAGACAAAAATAAGTACAGCCAAAAAGGCTCAGTAACTACAAAGGAACAGTAACAGTTTTATTACTTTATATTAAGCTGAAGAAGTTTTTCTGAAACCAATGCTCCAATGCTTTTTTTTTCTTCAGGTAGTTCCTTATGATAATTCAGCATATTCTAATTACTTCTTAATACTCACAATATGTCCTTCTAAACTGTTTTTGATAACTGTTTGGGGGGGTATTTGATTCTTGGTTTTGTGGGTGGTTATTGTGTGTTATGGGTGGTTTTTTTCTGTTTACAACAGTATTGGTCAGATATAGCTGTACAGTGGTTTTCATCCAACCACCAGAAAAAGCAGAATTCAAAAAAATAAAAGTTCAGCTGACATTTATTTACAAAGATATACTCTTAACAGTCAAAAACAGTACGACCTTCTTTTAAAGGGCTTTG